ATCGCCGTGGAGCGGCACCGCAGCGTGATGGCCGTGCAGCTGCACAGTCGCCTGCCCCGCGGCCGTGTCGTCCTGCTCATCGTGGGGGTGTGGGTGGCCGCGCTGGGCCTGGGGCTGCTGCCCGCCCACTCGTGGCACTGCCTCTGTGCCCTGGACCGCTGCTCACGCATGGCCCCCCTGCTCAGCCGCTCCTACCTGGCCGTCTGGGCCCTGTCCAGCCTGCTTGTCTTCCTGCTCATGGTGGCTGTCTACACCCGCATTTTCTTCTATGTGAGGCGGAGGGTGCAGCGCATGGCGGAGCACGTCAGCTGCCACCCCCGCTACCGAGAGACCACACTCAGCCTGGTCAAGACCGTTGTCATTATCCTGGGTGAGTGAGTGCCCTCAGCTGGCCCAGGGTTGCAGGAACCCTGCTGCCCCCCCAACTCCCACGAGACATGGGAGGGGATCATTTGGGTGGGGAATGTTCTCCAAGGAGGTGACATCTGAGCAGAGACCTGAATGCTGGGGAAGGGAAGAGTTCCAGGCCGAGGGAACAGAAGGTGAGAGCCCCACAGGACCAGGCCAAATGCCTCCAAATAAGAGGAGGAGGAGGAGGAGGCCCGAGTGGCTGGAGAGAAGCAGGAGAGGTGGTCAGCACCGCCTCGAAGGGCACAGGCAAGAGTCAGATTTTGTTCTGAGTTCCGTGGGAAGCCCTCCCGAGTTCTTAGCAGGGAGCGATGAGGTCAGTCTGGCTGTAGAGTGGTCTGAGTGGGGGAGGCGACACGTGCATCCCGTGAGGATACACGCCCCTACCCCAAGAACAAGGAGTGACTCTTCCCCATGACCCCTCTTTCCCCCACCTGGTAACTGGCCTGTCCCACAGTGACCTCCTTTCCCCCACAGAACAAATCTCCATGTAGAAATGTCCAGCGCCCTGTCTACCATGTACCAGTCAGGAAAGGCATCCCTTTCTGGCGGACACATCAGAGAAAGGTGTCAGGCCGCTGTGGCCCTGCAAACTACACAGCTGTTGTCTGAGCTCTGGAGGACCCCCGCCCCGAGCCCTGAGCTCTGAGCTGGGGTGCTGGGCCCCCAGAGCTGGCCCCGCTCACCTCAGGCTCCATCCTGCAGGGGCGTTCGTGGTCTGCTGGACGCCAGGCCAGGTGGTGCTGCTCCTGGACGGTCTGGGCTGCAAGTCCTGCAACGTTCTGGCCGTGGAGAAGTATTTCCTACTCTTGGCTGAGGCCAACTCACTGGTCAATGCCGTGGTGTACTCATGCCGAGATGCTGAGATGCGCCGCACCTTCCGCCGCCTCCTCTGCGGTCTGTGCCTTCGCCGGTCCACCCACAAGTCTGCCCGCTACGCACCCTCCACCCGAACAGGTCCCAGCACTCGCATCATGCTTCCAGAGAATGGCCACCCCCTGATGGACTCCACCCTTTAGCAGATGCACCGGGCTCTACCTAAGCTGCAGGACAGACCCTCAGTCCGCCGTGGCACGACGCCCCTGCCAGCCTTCCCCAGGCCCACAGCTCTGCCTGCCTCCGGGGCCCGGGGGTGTGGGGTCACCTCTAAATGCCCAGGAGAGAGTCAGAGGGGGTTCAGGAATCTGCTCTTCAATCATCTCAGGTTGTGGAGTTTTTTAACTGACACTTTTTAACTGCACATTCCTGGTATACCCTGTGGACCACTTCTTTGTCTGTGGTGGTGTGGGTGTTAAAGATGGGGGAGATGAGGGCTCTCTCAGGCCACTCTGCCCAGTGCGACAGGGTGACAAGGATGGCCCATGGATGCACCATCTGCCCGAAGCTGATTCTTTAGGGGCACAGACTGAGGGGTGCTGCGCATGAGCTGGGAAAAGGTTTTTGGCCCCTTGCAGCCTCTGGGGTCTTGCCTGTCCCAATTAGAATTGAGGAGGGTCTGTGGGGAGAGCATGATATAAGGAGTAAACCTTTCTTTCCACTGAGGTCTCCAGAGCATTTTCTGTCATCAGCTCAGATAGTCCGTCTGTCCCTGTGTTCCAGAATTGTCCGCCTCAGCTCGGGCTAGGCTGGGATCTCCTCAGCCCTGTTCTCTTTCCTCTTGAGCTCTGCACGGCTGTTATTCCATCTCTCTCTCTCTCTTTAAATCCTATACACAACATGGGGCTCGACCTCAAAACCCCGAGATCAAGAGTGGCAGGCTCTCCTGACAGCCAGCCAGGCGCCCCTCTCCATCTCTCTTGTTGGAGGTCTTGCATCCGTTCTGTGTGTTCCCCTGCCTCTAACTCCCCGCCCCCGTCTGTCTCTGTCCTCTGGAGCCCACAGTGGTCTCTGACCTGCATGAGCCCTCTTTCTCCTGCCTGCCCTTTCGTCTGGGTCTGGGTTATTAACGGTCAGGCATGTCCATCCCATTGCACACCCCACCACCTACATCCATCCATACCTACGGGCCGGGGGGAGTGGAGCCCGTGGAGCAGGATGCAGGATTTGAGAGCTGCCATTTCTCAAGCTCCTCGGATGTGCCTGGCACACTGATAAGCACTGTAGGTGCATTATTTAATCATTACTTTCATCTTGTGGTGCGGATGCACACTTCGTGGCTCAGAGAGGTTGCAATCTGGCCTGTGGTTACACAGCTTCCAAGGGTCACAGAGATGAATCAAGGGACTAAAGAGAGGCCCCTGGAGAAAGAGTTTTGGATCCCCACAATGTCCCAAGTTGGTCACGACCTCAGCCTGGTTTTCCTCACCTCACCTCACAGCCCCCCAAGTCTTCAGACATGCCATGATGAGCCCCCTCTCAGATGCTCATGGAGGCACCCTGCCAGGTACAGTGTAGACCAGAATCTGGATTCTCTGCTTCCACTTCACCAGGGAGGAGACAGGGTTATAGCTCTACTCAAGGTTCACATGCTAAATAACAGCTAGAATGTGGACTCAGGCCTCCCATTAGAGGCCAAATTCTTAAACCACTAAAGTACATATCGTGGAAGAACCAAAAACATCGAAGTCCTTCTACATTAAATGGGGCTAGGTTTCCCTTGGAGAAAACTTCCCCTGCCCTAAGACAGCTCTGTGTGGAGGCAAGAATGAACTGGGTTGCTGGGTACTTCAGGATCCAAGATGGACAGCAGGACTTCCAGGGCCAGAGGCCAGAATCTCCAGAGATGGTGACCCAAGCGAGCCCTGTACACCATGGGCCTGGGCATAGGACCATGAAAGATGCAGTCCTTACCTCTGTGGAGCTCCAGGCCTACTGGACAGACAGACACTTTGGGTGCCAAAGCCAATTCCTATGGGGTGGGGACCCGAAGTCCTCCCAAAAGCAGCTCTGTGTTTCACTTGCTCTTACATCAGCTTCCCCAGGTTCTAACCCACACTCCTCTGGTCTCCTTTGGCATCTTGTCCCATTGGTTTTTCCCTCCCTTGTAGGTCTCTCCGCCCTTCAAGCTTTGGCCCCTAAAGCTTTCAGCCCCATGCCGCCACCACTGTTCTCTGAAGAACACCAAAATTACCCACAACTTTTAGGCTTCCTGTGCAGGGCTGAAGTTTTGCGCAGGGCAACAGCTCTCCATGGGCCCCACACGTTCTAGTACTTCCTCTTACTGGGGCCCAGTGTTGGGTTTCCTTAATCAGGGAGCTTTCGAAGTGGTTCCTAACACTGGCCCACATCACTCATTTCCATTCGCTGCTGCCTTTTTTTTTTTGGAGTCCTCCAATCCAATCACCCCAGATGTTTTGAGTTTCCTCTCCAGCAGCAAAGGGAAGAAGATGGGCCCTGCCCTGAAGGGTTCCCAGAGAGGCTGAGGACTCTTTATGAGCCTGCATCTGGAATCTGCCCTCAAAGCAAACAAGCTCCAGCAGGTCCCAATGACTTTGGAGAAGTGATTCACGTCCAGTCCGTTCCTCTTCTCTCACAGGACGATCCTTCTCTGACGCCATGAGTTCTAATGGCTAGAAATAAAGACCTGTGGAGATTCACTCTTACTTGGAGTACACCTCAGAGGAGACCCTCAGGAAGCATCCTTCAGTAGTTCAGTGACCGCGTGCTTGGGTATTCTAGGTCCAGATTGCGGTAAATGGAGAGAATGAATAAAACCGAGGTCATTTATACGCCGGACCTTGAAAGGAGAATTGATTTGCGCAGCTGAGAAAATCACTCAGCCACCATCACCGCACACACCTGCACACCTCGTGGAAAGCTCCAAGGGGAAGGGCCGGGAGGCTGGGAGCCCTAGTGACCCATCTGATGGGGCTGAGACTGAGGGGACCACTAGGGGACTGAGGAGGGGTCTGGGACTCAAGGCTTTTGGAGATGAATGGTGGGTGTTGGTGGGGATCTGAGAATCGGATCTCTGAGAAGGAAGGGGTGGCTTGAAGGAAGAGTGGGGTACTCTGAGAAGTGGGGATTCGGAAGAGATGTGTGGGTTCCAGGGGAGGTGTGGGGATTTGAGGTATGGGGACACTGAGGAAGAATGGAAACCTGTGAGGAGTGAAGGCTCTAAGGAGGAATGGGGGCTCTGGTGGGGAGTAGAGGGCGCTGAGGAGATGGGGGGTTCTCTGAGGAGACTTGAGCGTCTCTGAGGAAATGCGGGACCTCTCTGAGGAGGTGTGGGGGCTGTGAGGAGATGTGAGGGGCCCTAAAAAGGATGAAGGTCTCTAAGCAGGAATCATTGCTCTGAGCAGGTGAGGGAGGAGGAGATATGGGGGTGGAAGGAGGAGGGTGTGGGTGCGAAGAGCTGTTGCCTCGGCAACTCCCAACCGAGTCCTGGGTCGTTGAAAGGGTCTGTTAGGGGTGTGTCTGTGGGCGGTGCGCGGCGGCCCGGGCGGCGGCAGTTGGCTGGCGGAGACAGTGGGGCGTGTCCATGGGCGGTGCGCGGCCTCCTGGCTGGCGGCGGTTGGCTGGAAGCGGTGGCGAGGGGTGGGGGTTGGGGCGCGCGCGCGCAGCGCGCGAGTGGCGGGGGTTGGCTGCGGCGCCCTTGTGAGCGCTCCAGGCCCGGCGGATTCCCCCTCAGCGCTTTCCCGGCCCCACCGCCCATGGACTCCCCGCAGCGCCCCGCGCCGCCTCCGCCGGCCCCGCGCCGCCCGCCGCTCGGGCCTCCTCCGGGCCCCGACACAGGCGAGGTCCTGCAGCAGATCATGGCCATCACCGACCAGAGCCTGGAAGAGGCGCAGGCCAGGTGCTGCGCGGGCTCGATGGGGGCGGGGCCACCCAAAGTCGCGGCAGAGACGGGGGCTGGCCCAGGGGCCAGGGCCAAGTTGGCAGGGGGCCCGAGGGGTGAGGAGGGTGCAGGGTGAGGTGGGGGGTTGCGTCTGTGGGCGGGGAGCGGGGAGGGGAGATGTGGGGGCTCGGGGAGGACTGAAAGGGGTTTCTGAGGCCGAGGAGATTTATGAGGTCAAATGCGACGGATTGAAAGGCTTATGGGGCAAGCAGCGGGTGATGGGTTTTAGGGGCCCATCCTGGGGCGAGAGGAATGGGTTTAAGGGGAGTGTGTGGATGGGGAGGTGTATGGTGAAAGGCGGTTTCGGGGTTTATGGAATGTAAGGGGTAAGAGGAGAGCAGGGGGCTGTAAGGGCTGAGAGATGGGATTTGTGAGGGATGGACAGCTAAATGGATGCATTAGTGGGACTTCTGAGGTGGGAAGTTTTGAGCGCAGATAATGGAGAGTGAGTTGTGGGCAGTAGGACTCAGGAATGAGGAGATGGGGGTGATTTGGTGTGTGAACCATCAGGAGAAGTTAGTGGGGGAGCTGGGTGGAAGGATGGAGAGCTGCCTTTTTGTTAACTGAGCAAATATTTATTAGACACTGTGTGGGGGACACCCAGCTGGGTGCTGACATAGTCCCTGCTCTCAAGCTCATAGTTAGAGGGAGAGAAAGTAAGTAGCAAAAACTAAGTATACATTGTGAGAAAACCTCGAAGAAAAGGAATAGCATGCTGTGGGAAGTCAGATGTAGAGAACACAGCACTTTCAGAGGCCCCGAGGTGGGAAAGAGCTGGAAGAAAGCAGAGCCAGAGACTTAAAGTCCTGAGTTCAATTTGGAGAGAGGTTGGAACCAGACCACACGGGGCCCACAAGTCTCAGGAAGGAGTTTCAGGAAGGAGTTTGGATTTTATTTCAATTGCAGTGAAAAGAATCAAAGCAGTTTTAAGACAACCTGTCCTGGGGCACCTGGGTGGCTCAGTCGGTTAAGTGACTGCCTTCGCTTCAGGTCGTGATCCCAGGGTCCTGGGATGGAGCCCCGCATCGGGCTCCTTGCTCAGCGGGAAGCCTGCTTCTTCCTCTTTCTCTGCCTGCTGTTCCCCCGGCTTGTGCTCTCTCTCTGTCAAATAAATAATTTTTTTTAATCTTAAAAAAAAAAAAAGACGACCTGTCTTACCTCCCTCTACCCACCACTTGTCATCCAGCCAGGAATGGTAGAATCTGCTTCACAAGGCAATCCATTGTGTTTGGGGTCTGCTTAAATTACTAGAAAATAGGAAAGGACCGAAGTCCTTTTGGAGGATGAGGCCTTGTTGAATGAGGCCTGTTTGGGGGTGAAGGATGACCCCTGGGGATGGGACCAGGGTGTGGTTGTGTGGACTTGTGCAGTCACTAGAGCCCTTTAGGGAGGCGGGGTTATGCCAAAGCCAAGTGAGCAGCAGTCACAGGAAGGAGGAGACAAAGAAAAGGTGGATTCAGCATGCATTTGTTCTTCAAACTTTCCTTTGCTTCTAGTGGACTATCCACTCTCTGCAGTTTCATAGCCTCTATCTGAAAAGTTAAGAGTGTTATCCCCCTCCTCCCTTACTATTTTCATTCTACTTGTTGGAGCACTGTGCTAGATGCTAGAGAAACCAGGATGGCTAAGATGTTCTCTGCCCTCTCAGAGCTCATTGAGAAGTGGGAATGTGTGGGAGACTAATTTATAAATAGCTGTCATAACAGGTGTGTGCTGAGTAGAGGTGATTCCTGGCACCAGCAGAAAAAAAGAGATGGGCCAGGAGAGGGTGCCCTTGTGTGATGCCCTGTCTGCTAGACTAGTCTGAGAGCAGGGGCTTTGTCCTATTTTCCTTTGTATTCCCAGGGCTGTGCACAATGCGTAGCACCTAGCATATGTAAAGTTTGTGGCACTAAAGATTCTGGAAGGTTTAGGAGGGGCCAAGGAGGGGAAAGTGGGCCCTTCACACACAGGAACCACAAGAGGCAGTGCTTTGAGTGTTTGTGGAGTTCTCTGAGTTCCTTCTGTTCTAGATAGGGAGCTGCTTAAGGAGTGAGCTCTGCTCAAGTGTGGCCTTCCTCAAGCATTTGTCACCCCATTACAGCCCCAAGGCTACACTTGTTTTCTTATAGCAATCCAGACCTCCCCTAGATGGGCTTTAGAATGGTGTACAGTCAGTCACGTCTTTCTTGCTATTCTTGAAGATAGCTTTTTTTTTTTTTCTTTTAAGGCTAGGAAATTGAGTAGTGGGACATTATATATGCATGACAACATGGTTGTTAGTTGTTTCCTGGTTTCTTTCTGAGGTAGAAAGGCCCCTGGGTCTTTTATTTTGAGACTTAGGAACTTCAGATCTGCCCCACTTCTTTGGATATAGCCCTAAAAGTCACCCAAGTCCAGACAACAGTCTGAACTCAAGGCCCTAGAAGTCACCCAAGTCCAGACAGCAGTCTTCAGTCCTCACAGGGATCACTTTACTCTGGAGCAAATAGCTTGGGTGGGTCTTTTCCTCATAGTAAACTCTGCAGCCTGGTAGGTTATCAACCTGGGAGGGGAAGCAGATTGTGTCTGTCCTGATCAACCAACTGGGTGAGGCTTTTGCAAGTCTTTCTGACCCTGCCCCCTCTCTCGGTGTGCCTGCTGAACCCCTCGTAGCCCCTGGAGTCAGTTTAGCTCAACTGTCTAGCAAGAAAGAGTTTTTCATCTTGCATGCGAGGACCTTTCAAACTATTTTGTCACTGTAAGTGTGTTTAAAGAGGGAAAGCACACCTATTCTCCTTAAACCAGAATTCTTACACCTTTCTGCATTATTTGGAAGGCAGCTCCAAGTGCTTGTGCATTATTCATTTTGTCATTATAGCTGAATTGTCTTGGAATAGTGAACTGTATATTGTTTTTCCGTTGGACTACACTGATAGTGGACTGTAAGGGTCTTTGGAATACACCGCCTAGTTTAGATTCAGCCCAAGTCAGCTGGAGACTTCCTATGTGAGAGATAACCAGTCTTTTTGAATGATCTTCTGAACTTCAGCTATACCCTAAGCTCTTCCCGGAGAAGGTACATTCTGTGTTTTCTGATTTGGAACCGTTCACTGATGATGTGCTTATTCATTTCTTGTGTGAGAGCTTTGCCCAGTGGCAGTATCGTAGCCAATGAGGTTTATCCGAGGTGCGATTATTGCTAATTGAAAACTTTTCCCATTTCTTGTGTGAGACGAATAAGGCAGAAAATTTTATCTCATTTGCCAAGGATTGTCTGAATATTTTGCTCTATCATGTATAGCTTTGTTTTTTTATAGTAATAAATTTTACAACATTTTACAGTTTCTACATAGTTTATTTCATTTGCTTCTTTGACTACCTTTATGAGGGGTTTATGAGGGTTATTAGACAGGGTTGAGGGCCCTCTGTCAAGACTGTCAGGCGCCAGAATTCTTCCTTCCTCCCAGGGTTCTTAACCAGTGTTTGGGTCATAAAAATCTGTTGCAAGCTCTGGGCCCTCCCCCACTCCCACTGCCAACAGTGTGTTCATGTACTGTACCCTTGAGGATCCTCAGGCCTCAGGTGCCCCACAGCCTGGAAGCTCTCTCATCAAAGGCTGGTGGACTCATTTTTTTGGTCCAGTAGTAAGATTTCAAAGAAATCAGTATGGAAACTCTAGAGCTGAGGGGTAAATTTTGGAAACCTGATTGAGAAAGGAAGCAGAATGGTCACAGTATCATCTGGAGATCCATGCTCCATACCTGATGTTCTGGAAGAGCAGCTGAAGAGGACTGGTCTTTCTTCAAGTCGTTCTGCATGTTGGAACGACAGGTGAGTTGTGCTGTGTGTTGCTGGATTAGCAGATTTGGCTGTAGTGGTCACTTCTTGACCCTTTGCTTACAGGTACACACTGATTCGCTAGAGAGCTATACTGTTCAATGTGGTAGCCATTCACTATGTCTTTTTAAATTAAAATGAATTAAAATTAAATACTCAGTTACTCAGTTGCACTAGCTACATTTCAAATGCTCAGTAGCCACAAGTGACTAGTGGCTACCATATTAGCACAGATAGAGAACATTTCCGGCTGGACATACAGCAAATTTCTGTGGGAATCTTATTGCAATGCAAGTTCTGATGTAGCAGGTCCCAAGGAGGCCCAATAATCCATGTTTCTAACAGACTCCCAAGGGTGCCAATGCTGCTGATCCCAAACCACACTTGGAGAGGTCAGGCTGTCAAAAGTGGAGATAATAGGGGCTCCTGGGTGACTCAGTTGGTTAAGCCTTCAGCTCAGGTCACGATCCTGGAGTCCCTGGATCGAGTCCCACATCGGGCTCCCTGCTCGGCGGGGAGTCTGCTTCTCCCTCTGACCCTCC